GCCCTGGGGAACACCGCTTGTGACTGGCCACGAGCCGGATTTAACTCTGTTCACCACAAGTCTCTGGGCAGCTGTCCAGCCAGTGCAAGGGCACAATCACAAGAATTTTAGAATCTTAAGAATCTTATCTTAAGAAGTGCAAAGAAGAGTTACTGCTAAAGCTTCCTCTAGTCCAAGTGAAATTTAGAATTCAATATAAAATAACACTTCCTGTAAAAGTACTAATGGTAAACATGATATGCTGCTTTTCTTGGCTGACAGAGCAGAAAAGAAACTTAGAGAAGTTATTCTTGTTTTTTCTTAGAAGGTAAATTGGGAGAAGAAAGGGATAAATGTTGACTATATTGACTGAGATATCTTGTAACCTGTGGATATAGCTCAATGTATAGAACAATATGCCTTTTTTTGCTTATCTCGCACAGAAAGTTTAATATTTGCTCTCTTATTTCCTTAGTAAGGGCGAGTGTTACAGCTTTAAAAGATTCCGAATGAAATCATGTATTGGGTCTCTGTATCCTGTGGTCATCAGCTATAAGCCACTACTCATGTCAGGGTCTGACTACATTGTACCGACGCAGTCGGATTATTGCACCAGGTGGGAGGATCGGTTTTCACTGGGAGAAGGAAGAATGAACTACTCTAATGCAGCGGTACAGTGGAGTGCTGAGCACAACAAATAAGTAGCTGTCCTTTGAAGCTTTTTTTCTTTCGGTGATTAAACTCCCTGCTTAAATGCTTATGCTATCCCTGTCGAGAAAGCCACTAGCTTTAAACAAATTTCTAATTCACAATACTACTTCCTTCTCCCCTCTCCCCCACCACCAAGACACTCTTTTGCCAAAACACTATTTTAGAAAGGAAAATTTTAGCAATAAGGCATATTTTATTATGGAGATAATGTTACGCTCTTTAGAAAATCAACAAAGCAAACATATTCTGGAACATTTCCTAATGCTATGTTACTATTATCTGATGGTTTCTTATCAATTTATTGTGACTGTTGACATTAGCAATGGCTGCTAAACATGTAATTTGTGGCAAATAAAAAAAATAAATTCTGCATGATTTTGTCAATTTGTGTTACATGCTAAATGAAGCTTTATACAAGCATTCTCTTGCACTAATTTTTCAGTACCTTGACCCACATTACAACAAAGAAATTTCTTGTGGTTACAGTACTGAATGAATACTGTAAAACTGTATATTGTTAACATTGATTTTATCTGTTTTCATATCTCAATTTGAAACAGAACAAGTGTAAAATATGTAGTTACAAAGTAAATATTTAATATTACAACTTTTTTCATACTGTAACACTTAAATACCCAGCTTTTGCTAGTAAAATTAGAACTCTTTACATTCTCATTTGTTGAGATCTATCTGTACAAACTACATTAAAATGTAATGGTATAATTCATTTAATTGATGGTATAATGGTATAAATTCATGCAATTAAGCTAGGAAATGCACAAAAATAGAATTGACATTTGTGCTACCTTAGCTCCTCTTTTTAAGTTATGTGATTTTACAGTAGCTTTTCTGCCTCTGCAGAAGTTTGGAAGGGCTCCCTCTCTTTTCCACAGAATCTAGAGTGGCAGCTGCAAGACAGTAAAGTCCCTTTCTGAATATTACTGTTGGTTAATTGCAAATGAGAAAAACCCAACAAAAGGTGCACGGCCATCAGCCGCACGATTCTGCTGCACTGCAGAATCAGTATTAAGCAAGGTCCCCTTGTCCTGAAAGCACAGAAGATAGTGGGAAACGTGATGATGCGTTAAAAATACCTGGTCTATAGAGACTGTCACTCTCCCGAGCTGTGAAAGATAACGTGCAACACTGCACAGTAAGATTTTTAAATGCATAGCATAAACAATCCAAACTGTTCTTACCAGTTTGAAAAAGGAAAAAAAGATGCAGTTGATGAGTTCATGACCATATTGAGAAAATAGCAGGCCTTTATTGAAGAAACGTGTGGGTAGCGCAGGCTGCCAACAGCGGTATGGCCAGTGGTGCTACTACGCAACGCGCCAAGCAGAACGTGCTTCTGCTGTCCCACTTGGGAACAGACCCACGCTCGGAGATATGCTCCCACAGCCAGGCAGCTGGAAGCAGCTGGCTGACAGGAGTGCAGCCAGACAGCAGGAAGACGATCCCGGCATGTGGGCATGGGACCAGCCCACAGTTTTGAAGCGTAGGATAGAAAGAGAGGTGAGATCCTAGCGTGAGGTAGGGAGAAGAGAATGGAAGCGTGGCACAGAATTAGCTGCCACCATTGACTGCGCCCATAACTGCTGCTCTCATCACAAGAACTTAGGATAGCATCAGCAGAAGTTCAGCTTCTATGTAGCTTTCTATACGTGTCAAACACACATTGTGGTCAACAACAATGGAAGACAAAAAGAGAATGGCATAATCTGGGATGAATTCTAAACAAAAAAAAATTAAAACCTGTAACAAAACTATTTAGGATCTTAATGAAACAGTATTTGTTGTAAAATAAATACAGTGAGAAGTACTTAAGGGGGTCTTGTAAGATGGGGACAGCCTTTTAGTAGGGCCTGTTGCCGTAGGACAAGGGGTAACGGTTTTAAACTAAGAGTGCAGATTCAGACCAGATATAAGGAAGGAATGTTTCACAATGAGGCTGGTGAAACACTGGCACAGGTTGCCCAGAGAGCTGGTAGATGCCCCGTCCCCAGAAACATTCCAGGTCAGGCTGGACGGGGCTTGGAGCAACCTGCTCTAGTTGAAGATGTCCCTGCTTATTGCAGGGGGGTAGGACTAGATGGCCTTTAAAGGTCCCTTCCAACCCAAACTATTCTATGACTCCATGATTCTATGTTGAAACAACTTCTCAAAGTTTCCCCATGTCTGTAAATAAATTTTATTCTATTTGTCTCCAAAGCCATTTTCATGAATTAACAACCAACACTTATTGAAGAGATCTTCAATTTATTAGGTATTTTTATTACAACTTCTATAATAAACAAGACAAATACATACTCAAAAAAACTGGACCCAGTGTATCAGACAGATAATTTTTTCATATTTATACTTTTAACATAGTCAGTATTTCTATAAATTCAGATATTTTAATTATGGAGTTTTAGAAAAGTTTTATCTGCTTCAAATCACTATGCAATCTTCCAAAACACCATACTATCTACTGCAAGAAATTTTCATGGGCTTTCTACCCCTGTTCTTAACAGACTACTTCATGGTAGGGAACTCCCTATCTGGAAGTATTTTGCATTTGATTAAAATCCTATAAAACTGTCTCTTACCTATGTTTAAGATTTCTGGCGTGCCTAAATTGTTTTGGTGACTGCAATGTAACAGCCTCTTCAAATTTTGTATAATTTGTGGATTTATTATACAATCAAAGTGGCAAGATTTATATATTTAAGGTAATGTTTTAAACTAATTTATTTAATCAGTCAATTTTTAGTCCATATGACCACTTATATTGAAGTCAGTTGCCTTACTAATTAAAACATTCAGTAGCTATGCATATACAGGTAACTTGGTCTTTAGATTTTCACTGAATGTGCAATATTACATTCACAAACTTGACAGACACTTTAATTATGCATTTTACCACACAAAATTGACAGGTTATTAAAGCCTGCATATACTAGCTACAGTGCATAAAGGGGATATCAGTCATACCGTTTTGAATTTTAGCATAACAAAATATTTATTCCACAGTGGGTTTTGGAATATGAAAATCCTATTTGCTCTTATAATAGTTTCTGCAAAAAGCCACAAAACCTAGGTCCTGATAAAACATTTGATGCCTATAAATTATATCCATTACTGGAAGAATTTTAATACAGTAGGCTTGTAGCAAAAAATATACATTTTCCATAAAACCAAAAAATAAAGTATCTGAAAATGTTCTGTGATATATCTAGAAAAAGAGGAGGAATCCAGTCTTTAAAAGTTAAATTCTGCTCTCACACAATTTAAATTGAGACCAATCCATGAAATTCGTACAGCTGACAGAAGAATTTCACTCAGTTTGCAAGATTAAAATGCAAAGGTTATGAAAAGTATGCAAATTCTTATTTCAGGAGTTTAACTTTGTCCTTCAGAACTTTAAATTTGGGATTGTTATTCACTTTCTTATTAAATATGACTAGAATATCCTCTTCTGATTTGTGATGTTCACCAGCTACTGCATAATACTGAGCTATAACCTGCACAAAGACAGAGAAATAGTTTTGAGTTAGTAAAGATGATTCCAGTTTAAGCAATAATACATTCATGTTACTGTATTAAAAGTAGCATGGAATCCACTACGCTATTATTCCTTTGCAGAATTAGCACTGAATTTCTTCTGTAGTCCAGTAAGCAATAAAGAACATGTCCTTCAGCTGACATTCTATCAACTGATATTCTGTTAAATAATGTCAAACTTTTTTGCTTATGTGGGGCAGGATTTTATGAACTTAAGCATTACAGAAGGAAATTCACAAGACCAAAAGAGATTAAAAACAACATGTTGTACAGTACCTTTTTTCTCAGTTTTTTAATTGAAATTTCATTGTCTGGAGCCTGTTTCAGAACAGCTTTGATGGTTCCCTTCCAGTTGAATTTACCTAGAAAACAATCACGTGTACAACATCATTAGTAAAATTAGGTATTTCCAGGTCATCTTCTCTAGTAGGAACCATCTTTCAGTCTCCCAATTTTGGAACTGGTTCGCCTACCGCAACAGTTCATTGTTATCTTACTGACCCTACAACAACAGCAGGGTGTCCTAAGCATAAAGTCAGGTAGGCTGTTTCTTAAGATTATGATAGGGTAGACATGAAGAACTCACATACTACTTGCACAGCTAGGGTCAGGATTGCTTTTACTTAACTTGTGTGCTTCAGCTACAAAGCAGCAACTCTTACGTGGTGCAGGAATGGTTGGCAAGATTCTGTCCCCTCAACCTCAGAGCGCAAGTAGTGAATTTCACACAGCACCCACTTCAGAGGTCATTAATCGGTAGTTTCCAAATAAATAATCTGTATGTTCAAGTACAGACATTTCACAACAGTAATAGTGTGTCAGATGATAGGCATAAGTAGGTTTATCTAAGCATAAACTAAGGTCAAACACAACTGAAATCCAATTTATGATTCACTGAGAAAAAATGGGGATATAAGAGATAGAAAGAGATATAAGAGAGCAGTTACCCTTTTTCACTACGTTGGCTAGCATGCATGGCAGCAGGGAAGAGACCTGATGTGGTGAAACAAACATGCCAAATCCCCCACTGCCCAGTGAATGCAAGTGTAGCCAAAGGTTGCCAGCACAGCAGAAAAAACAAATGGGAGAAGTCACTCAGCATCAGGTGTTAAGTGTAGCACAGGCTACTTACTCTGGAACAGAGCTGTATACTGAATATACATATGTATATATATACTAAGGCACAATTTAATTCATGGCTTGCTGCAAAAGCACCATTTTATATTCTGCACTAGGTCTTTTGCAGAATAGTTTTGTTAACTATCTAAACTCCCCCTTTAAGAATACCTTTACCTGTTCCCACATTTTCTTCGTTGCTGTTGTTTTCTGTTTCCATGTCTTTTGAAGTGTTTTCAGTTTTAATTTTCTTTGTTGTGATATGAGGTTCCTCTAGAAATGGAATTGGATAAACATACACAAAAGATTATAAAACTAGAAGAAAAGTTCTGATGTGACTTAAAGCTTCTGTTCTTGTAACACAAGTTTATATTCGCTAAGAAGTTCAGATTTTGTAAAAGGACTGTGCAACCACAGTGTTAAAAAATAATCTAATTTGTATATATTACTTAATACTTAAAAAATTCCACTAAAGTAGATTATTGAGCTTTAAGGCATTGAAAAAAAGCATCTTGAAAACAACCAAGAATATAAGGTGTAGGATAGATACCTTCTGCGTGCTTATGTTTGCGTTTCTTTACATTTATTTCCTCTTTTACTTCATTTGGATGGCCATTTCCATTTATTTCAAATTCATTCTCCAAGCTCTCCTTTTCCTGTTTTGACTTTTTACTCTTTTTTACTTCTGACTGGTTTTCTAATTTCAAGTCTTTTTTCTCCTTCTTTTTGTTCTTTTGTCTGTCTTCTTTTCGTTCCCTCTTATTCTTTTTCCTCTTATTTTTATCATCTGTAATTCCATTTTCTTTTGCCATTGTTTTTTCCCCAGTTTCTGCAGACTGCCCCTCTTCCTTCTGTTGTGGTTTGTCTTGTTTTTTCTCACTTGAAGTCTTTTGTTGAAAGAGAGATTATTACAATTTGTACATGCCTTTTTTGACATTGCAACTTTTCTCTACTACATCATTCATTAAAAACATTAATATCCTGAATTCAATTAAATTGCTCACATGTGGTGACACCAGTTACCAGTTCCTGGGCTTATAATAATTTTGTTGTAGAAGAACTAATATATTAGTGAACATTTTAATTTTAAATTAAACTTTAATTTTAATAATTACAAGTGAAATGACTGAAATGTTAATGTGGTTACTTAGAGAATACATGTTTATATAAGCAACTTAATAGCAAGATGTTTTTGTAAAGAGTAATTTCAATTCAAATTCCACTTAAGAACTTCTTTTGAGTACATACACTTCAAAACATCTATTACAAAGAGTATCTTGAGATGTTTTTGAGAACTCTTAAAGGTGTACCGAAACGATCTGAGCAAGAAAGTTGTGTTATATATTTTACTTTAATGCTTTATCCTATGGAAAATGTAAATTGTTTTCTTGTTTTTAAATAAAATAATTGTTCAGATTTAAGATTTTTTTTTTAAAATTGGTTTAAATCATGAAGGAACTGCTTATGGCTTTGGTGAAGTTGTATTGACTCAGAATTAATGTTCCAGCAAGACAATGTACTTAAAATTCATTACCCAGAGTTTATGTTACATTCAAATCCTTGAAAAAATAGTATTTCTTTCCTTCCTGGCTCTTACATTTGGATTCTTCAGAAAAACTACAAATAGATTTAACTGGAGTCATCAAATCAGGAACATGAAGCATGATCAACAAGGGATTAATATCAAAGCTATGCCTGCACTTCCTCAAAAGAAGCTTGGAGCAGGAAGACAGCAATCTTTACATCAACAGAGAAATAAGTTTCTGTAACAGCTTTCTAGTAGCAGGAATAGGTGTAAACAATCAAACAAAACAACAGCCTACCAAAACATGCTAAACTACTACTGAAATAGCAAAGAATTAGGCATGAGAAAAAAGGTCACTGAGAGGACTTCACAGTAAACTGGAAGATCTCATCTCTCTCACTAATAAAATGGATATCCTCAGTGCTGTTAATTGAGGGGTTTTTTTAATTCCTTCTTAAGTGTGTGGTAAAAGATTGGAACCAAAGATAAAAGTAGTGGTTTTCCCTTTTTTTATGTACTAGTAGCATAGAATAAAGTCGAATTAGCCTTCTGATTAGTACAATGTTTCACCGTGTCCCAAGTTTTTAATTGCAGCCTGCCCAGTATGCACAACTACTTCAGCAACAGTATGTGCCACAAATTAGCAATTTAGTCTAGGAATATTACATTGTAACATAGCCCATTGTAACAATGAGACACAATATTTCTGCTAACATCTACAAAAGAGAGTCTGAAAGGTTTTCCTTCCAGCACTTTTGACTGCATTCCTGTTGTACCTCTAACTTAACTTACGTTTCTGGTTGCTTCAAAGAAAATATCCCACACCTGGTCTTGCAAAGTGCTGTCACTAATTCTCAAACTGTTCTTCATCCAATTCTGTGCAGGAAAAAAAACAACAATAACTGAAAAGGTGCACCTATGGTTTTTTTGATTACCATATATTTGGTTATTTTTTAAATTTTTCATTTAAGAATCTAATCACTTTTTCTGATTAACATCTAGTTAGACATTTACTCTCTATGAACCTCTTAAGCCTCCAAGCTAAATGGTTCTGCATAATGCCTGTGTACTGTTACAAGGCTATACCACGCCTCTCGATTGCCTCACCACTGGTAATCCAGAAGTGGTAAATATATAGAAAAGATCATCCTCGAGTTTTTGAATACAGCTGGTTATGTTAATGTTCTACCAAACCTTTTGATTGTTCCTGTAAGTTAAAACATTAAGGATCTGATCTTATTTATTTATTTGTGTACTGGACAGATGGTCATGCTCCTAAATGGCTACCTTAGTTTATTACAGAAAAGTAAAATTTAAGCAAATATCCCAATGAAAACATTTGAAAGTTGTTGGGGCTATTGCAGGAGTTGCTGCTTAAACGGAAAACAAAGCAGTAAATTTCTACTTACAATACACTCATGCTATCAGCAACAAATCAACTTTCAGGAATTGTACTGGGTTTGCGTGGTAAGGTTTTGGTAGCCAGAGGGTCTACAGCGGGGGCTTCTGTGAGAAGTTGGTAGAAGCTTCCCCTGTGTCCAACAGAGCCAGTGCCAGCTGGCTCCAAGATGAACCCACCACGGGCCAAGGCCGAGCCCATCAGCGATGGTGGTAGTACCTCTGGGGTAACAGAGTTAAGAAGAGGGGAAAAAAAACCTGCACACAACAATTGTGGGAGGCAAGAGGAGTGAGAATACGTGAGAGAAACAACTCTGCAGACACCCAGGTCAGAGCAGAAGGAGGCACCGGAGCACAGATTCCCCTGCAGCCCGTGGTGAAGACCATGGTGAGGCAGGCTGTCCCCCTGCAGCCCATGGAGCTCCATGGTGGAGCAGATCTCCACCTGCAGCCCATGGAGGACCCCACACTGGAGCAGGGGGATGCCCGAAGGAGGCTGTGACCCTGTGGGAAGCTCGTGCTGGAGCAGGCTCCTGGTAGGACCCGTGGAGGCGTGCAGAGAGTGAGCAGCCCAGGCTGGAACAGGTTTGCTGTCAGGACTTATGGCCCTGTGGGGGACCCATGCTGGAGCAGTCCATTCCTGAAGGACGGCACCCCATGGAAGGGATCCAGGCTGGAACAGCTCATGCAGAACTGCAGCCTGTGGGAAGGATTCACATTGGAGAAGTTCGTGGAGGATGGTCTCCTGTGGGAGGGACCCCATGCTGGAGCAGGGCAAGAGTGTGAGGAGTCCTCCCCCTGAGGAGGAATGAGCAGCAGAGACGTGTGACGAACTGACCACAACCCCCATTCCCCATCCCCCTGCGCTGCTCGCGTGTAGGAGGTAGAAACTCAGGAGTGAAGTTGAGCTGGGGAAGACGGGAGGGGTAGAGGAAAGGTGTTTTAAGATTTGGGGTTTTACTTCTTATTATACTACTCTGATTTTGATTGGCAATAAATTAATTTCCACAAGTTGCATCTGTTTTGCCCGTGACTGTAATTGGTGAGTGATCTCTCCCTGTCCTTATCTCAACCCACAAGCCTTTCGTTGTATTTTCTCTCCCCTGTTCAGCTGAGGAGGGGAGTGATAGAGCAGCTTTGGTGAGAATCTGGTGTCTAGCCAGGGTCAATCCACCATAGTGGAATTCTAGGTAAAACCTAATGTAAAGATTTTTGCATTGCAATGAAAATCCCAGGAAAGCTACATTAGTAAATTGCAACAACGAACTGCAAAAACTTTTGATATTCCATTGCAACATATCTTACCAAGAAGAAAGAGGCTTCTTGACAATATCACTCTCCCTGCTTAGAACATTAATTTTGTACAAAAGTATTCTAACCTTCAGCTCACTAGCAGCAATTTCACCACAGCTCTGTTAGGTTCTATTGGACGGCTGTGGAAATAATTATGATCTTCTCTCAAGACTCACAATCTGAGGCACAGAACAGGCTGGGGACGGCCAACTTGTCAGTAATCCTTTACTGATACCACATAAAACATTTGGAATTTGCTTTGTCCGTGATGCAAAGTATAGTAAAGCATCCAGTGTGGGAGATTCTGTCAGAATAATGAGTAACAGGAAAACTCTCAAAACAGTATCTTATGTTTACCAGCAAAAAACAAGGCCACAGGAATAAGAATCCTTTAAAAGAATATGGACACTCAATAAAAATTGCAAATATTAAAAAAGAAAAGTATTAAAAAATAAACAAGCCTACACATGGAGATTAAGCTTGACTGATGAGTCTGGCTTAATACTTAATTTAAATGGCACACTGAGAGTCCTTTTAAGCAAGATGTGTTTTACAAACATTGCCTATCTGAAACTCAGGCATTACACCATCTATTTACCGATGCCCGAATGAGCAATTTGTCCCACCTTTGTTAAAAGAGAGTGGCACTTGATAAGAAAGTCTAATTTTAGGCTTGCTGCATGGATTACTACAAATCTCTATTAAAACATACCTGAAACTTCACTTTTTTTCTTGGAATATTATCAAAGACACGCATTTTCTCTAGAATGTTCTGCACTTTAGGGCTTATGTTTGGCTTCTTCATTACTTCATGAATTTTCTGGATTAAGAAAAACAGAATGAAATCAGCAAAGAAGTGTAATGATCAAAAGATACATGCAAGGTATGCAAGTCAGAAACACATTGGACAAAAATCACCCCAGTACCCACAGACTGTATGGCCTGCTCGAAAGAACTGTTCAATACACTAACCTTTGGTATCATAGATCATGAGATGCATCAAAGTTATCTAAATAAATATTTATACCTATATAGGAAGCAGAGGCAAGCTCACCAATGCTTTCTGATGGACAAGTTACAACCTGTAATAGGAACTTTTAAAAGTAAAGTAACTGTATCCCACAGGTGATTCTTGTAGCGTGAAAAAGACCTGCATTAACAAAAGCAACTGTCAGCAGATTTGTTTTTGCAAAGTTCTGGAGTTAATTGTGAAAAATCAGTCTAACTTAGAGGCTGCAGTTTGATATGCATTTCTTTTGGCAGCAGTGCCAGCTTCAACAACCATTAATCCCCATAAGACAGCTCAGGCACATTCCTATGCTACAGATGCCAGCACAAGAGACCAGAGAAGGTTAAGCCAGGGCCTTGTGGCAGTTACTTGAACAGCACTGCTGCTTGGGTGGCAAAAAGGCTCTCCGCTTCCCATTATTTAAAGATGCAGCCATTGGACACTGGAGACCCTGTACTTCCGAAAATCTGTTTACTGAACGTTTTGTGGATATGTTAAGACTCCAGAAAGGACGTTCTGTAATAATCCCTCACCTTTCTGTGTAGAAAGTACTTACTACTGAGGAAGGCTAATGATTTTCCTAAGCAATAGCATTCACATCATACAGCCTTTGAACAATGCACTCAAACAACGTTTAATCTCAACAATGGCACCAATCTGTTCACTTCAACGGTGTTCTTCATATGCCTTGAGTATGCACATAGCTTTGTACTTTGTTAGATTGTGTTCTATACGAGATAGAAATCCAGAAATCCGTAGATAAAGGTAATCTAGCTAATTATATCTAATGGCATTTTTAAAGAGTTTCTTCCCAAAACATTTAAAAACTAACAGCCATAAGAAGGTAGGTTCTTGCATAGGATAAATAACTACCTGAAGGGTAGGACAGAAAGGGTAGGAGACATTTCCTGTAATCCATGCTGCACCCTCTGCTGTTCAACATATTTACAAAATATCTGAAAAAAGGGCAAGAAAATTTTCCTGATGATATGAAGCTATTCAGGATGAGGAGGACTGTGAAAAATTCCAGGAAGATCTTAAGAGAATGAGTGACTAGGTAATAAAAAGGTGAATTAAATTCAACACGAATTCATGTAAAGCAGCATGCACAGGAAAAGCAATCCTAACTTCACATCTAAAATGTCAGGCTTGAAGTTGATCACTGGAGCTCAGACACAAGATCTTGGGATTACAACAACCAATTCCATGAAAATGCCAAGACAGTGATCAGTAACAGTCCAAAAAAAAGTAGACCAACTGACAAAAATCAGTAAGAAAGGAATAGAGGACACATCATTATGACACGAAGTAAATCTATGGTTCATCCATACCTTGAACAGTGTATGTAGTTCTTGTAATCTCGTTTCACAAGGATACATTCACAAACATACACAGAACTGGGAAGACTTCAGAGGACCAAAGATATAATTTACATATGAAGAACAACTACACAGGACAGGACTTTTCAGCCTGGAACAGAGATGAGATGGGGAGGGATGCCTGACAGAGGTCTACAAAACCGTATGCGGCATGAAGAGGGTGGACAATGATCAATACCTTTTTGTATGCAAGAGCTAGGGAATATCAAATCAAACCAGAAGGAGACAGACTCAAAACAAAAAAAAGGTGTGTTTTCTTACCAGGGTAAGTAATAGACCTACCAAGGAATTGCCAAAAGCAAGCTGTAGATATTGGGAAAAAGAGATCTCTGGATTGAACCAGTATAGCCCCTCTTGTGTCTTTAACTATTATAAAATATAGTTATTTATCATATCTGTATAGTACAAACCTTACCTGAATCCACTCTTGTTGTTTAGCACCTCCTTTGTTAGTTCTGGCTTCAAAATCTTTTCCACCGTATTTCTGGTCTTCACTTACGCACCTCACATGTTCCTTATAATCGTCACCCCTGAACACAGCAGATTTTTAACTGTAGTTCACTAAAGTGTTTTAGTCCTTCAAAACTTAAGTAATCAACAAACTGAAGCAATAGATGATAGCATCTAACATTTAAACATTAACACTGCCAACGCTTCTATGAGTAACGTTTGACATGCTTAAAGTACATGCTTATGAGACTGCTGACATTTCTGTCATGCTACAAGCCTTCACTGAAAATTTCTGATTTCCAAAATCAGATCTGTCTTCAGTATATTGCTGCTTTTATTAATGAATCTGTAACTTATGCATATTTATACATGTAACAGATGCAGTTATTAATGCATATCTGTGTTTTACTACTCATATTGACATGTTTAAAATCAGAAAAGCAGGTGAAAAATGCTTGCAAAAACCTGACTGCTAAATATAGATATACTGATGTGGTAGTGTAGTTCTGAGTAAGTGCCCCAAAAAAGAATAACATAGATTTTAATCTTTTGTCAGTGAAGTACTGAGAAATATAATCATTATTTGAGGACAATCTTATTTTCTTATGCAAATTCACATATTTATATTTTGAAAGTAGACAGTAGTACTGCTTTCTTCTGAGTTCTAAGAAGTGACAACCAAATTCAGAATTTTTTATGTCGTTGCCAATCTCTCTGCAGTACCACAACAAGTAGCAGTTGTTGATGACCAGAAGCTGAAAGCACTGTCACTTATAACTGTAAAAGAAGAAACTGCAACTCTGTTTACTGCATGGTTTAGTTGTCCTTGCAGTTCAAACTTGGATGATTAAACTTGCAATTATATAAAAACACGTACAATTTTCAAATACATGCATGAATTGCGCAGAAATTGCCAAATCTAACACACACCATAGGAAAACCTTGCATTTGTGACAATCGGTGCAGAACCAGCAAGGCTATTTCCCATCCTTTACCTACCAGAAATCCTTGCCACAATCCATGCAAGAAAGGCACTGACAGTTTCTGCAGATGTTCACATGTTTTTCAACTTGCGCTTTCTTCACCGATTCTCCACACGCATTGCATGTGAAAACTACCATGTTGGTGAGCGGTCGGTAGCTCCTATGAAACAGGTACAAATTTTTTTCTCCCCACACGAGCACAGCCCTAGAAAACCAAGGAGGAGATCTTACATTTACAGCTCAAAAGAAGCACTTGGATGGCCGAAAACAAATGCAACTAACTGCGCATCCACTAACGGAAAGTCTAAGCGGTTTGATTTTTGCATATGCAAAATTCAGAAGGAAAAACTCATTCTGCCTGAAACCTTGAGCTCAGTCAACCCCGGAACCAGTAACCACCCCTGCCCTCCACCCCATGCCGATACGCTTCGGAGGCGGCGGG